GCAGGTGTCGGGGCGCCGGCGGGGGTGTTTTGTGATGGGCGGGGGTGGGGCACCCCGGCGGCGGGGGTCCGGGGGTCGAACCCCTACCCCGGCTTTGCCCCCGGGGGGCCCCGCCTGACAACCGTGCCCCCGGTCCTACCGGGTTTTCAGCACTGGTTTGCTGCCTATCAATTTTCTCTTCCAGAAAGGTAAGGTATGTCACAAAATGAGACAATGTATGTGACATGTCAGTCTGTTCTCCAACTTCTGTTCCATTACCTGTCTAATTTCTTTAACTCTTTCTCCTCTTCTTTGTTCCTGCTCTCTTCTTCTGGCCAATTCTTCTTTCTTTCTTTCTTCCGCGGCCAATGTTTCTTTCAACTGCTGGATATTGGCATCAATCGTAGCCTCATTTACTTCTGGCTTAGTCTCGCCTTTACGAGTCGCTTCCATTATTTATTCCAGCTGCTTCAAAGCAAACTGGTCCAACGGTTGTCGGCCTTGGGCAATCAGTTTGGAGACTTCGGTCCCGGCTGCCACAACCTCCACAGTTGTGATAGATTTCTTTAGACGGTCTTCAACCATCTGCAAATCAAATCTATCACGGATGTGTTGCTCAACATCCGGTCCAGACAAATCAAATCTATCACGGATGTGTTGCTCAGCATCCGGTCCAGACAGATGTACTTCGGTCAAGAACTGATTCCATAAGGCCAACAACTCTTGTTTCTTATTCTCAGACTGCCTCCGAGTCTTAAGCTCGGACAGTCCTTTGCCCACGCAGAGCATGATCGAAATAGGAAACAAGAATATGGTCACGAATCTCGTCAGAATAGACTTTTGCAAACATTTCCAGAAGTAAGACATTTTCGGAGGACAGAAACAGGAAAATTCGTCGGCTAGGTTGTTCTACCGCAAAAATAATAAGGAGAAAATAATTTTAACGGTCACCCGAACCAGATTCACACTATCTGAACAGAAATAACAAGGAACATAATATTTTTACTAATATTGATTGTTGTTCTAACTTCAATGTGATGACGTTGTATTCTATTTCAGGTACCGCGACTCAGGCCAGCATGATCATCAACACACACAAGTACACAGGCACACAACACAACACAAGACAACAGGTAAGTCCGCCAACAATATCACAATAATAGTTAGCGTTCTTCCTTGCTGCTGATTCTTTTCAATCCTATGTGATCAGCACCCAATCTGACGTTTGGCACCACAACCACGTTAGTCTTCCAGCCGTGCCACTTCGGTCACCAGAATGCAACTCTTACTTGAGCACAACCGTGCCTGCCACGTGTCACCCCTGGCATGCCAACTCAGCAACTCGAAGAGTATGCCAGGTCAGCATGTCCAATCATAATCATCAACGGGGTGCACGTCAGCAATGTGCGTTGATGTCTCCGGTAACTTTCCTGCCTGCCACGTGTATCCCTTGGCGTGCCAACACAGCAACGCTTGTGTCTGCCACGTCAGCACTATAATCCAGTCAGCAACATCAATGGAATACACGTCAGGAGCGGTACCAGCGCGTCGCACAATGCCACGTAAGCCAGGTATTGGAGTGCCACATCAACCAAAGCCTCTCACCACAGCAAACGAATGGTGAGTCAGCAATGCCACGTCAACACTCCTTAACAGTCACCGGCCACGTCATCAATGTCGTCCCGATCGCAATTGCGGTCGATCAGAATCTGGATCGCAATGCGATCCTGCTGGTCTTCCCTTGTCGAGATACCAATGCCACGTCAACACCTGACGTGCTCTGTCCCTCTCTTGTCCACGTCAGCTCCTCTGTTGTAGGCGTCACCACTTCCACCGTCGTCATACAAGTCGTCGTCGTCACATCATTGGAAGTATCGCTCCGATACCAAATTGCAATGAACCCAGATCGTGAAGACACTTGTCAACAATGCCAGCCCATATAGATATCAACCTGCTGATGAATGTCAAATAATCATAATTGTGTCCAGATAGAATGAGATGGGGAATCATACACAGACGAAGCGGAGAGGGGAGAATAGACAGAGAGGGGAGAAATCAACAATGCCCACTCCTGCTTCGGGCTCCCTCCTCTCTTGCCACCTCAATAATCAATAACCCGAACAAAAATCTGAAGTTCTCTCTCAATGTGCCACGTGGCACATCAGCCTGCCATCATCAGCGAACTGGAGAATGTCGACATCAAGATACCAGGTACGTCTCTACGATAACCCCACAGTCTTGATCTCCTTCCGAAGTGGCGATGAATCAGAACAGCACTATCAATCACGTAGCCCCGCCACGTCAGAGTACAGGTGGCAGCAGCCACGTCATCAGTGGCACGTGGCAGCTGCCACGTCAGCATGCCTAGAAGACAATTGCCAGCCAGCCACTATGCCAGCCAGCAGCGCGTCGCCGTCTCTCCTCATATGCCAGCATAGAGCCAGCGTCCAGACAGTGTCGCAGCGTCGCACCAGCGTCAAAGTCAATGCGTGAAATCAGCATTGACGCAAGACTGAATGACCTTCAAAGCCAGGAAGTCAGCTCTTATGTAGTGTTGACGCGGGGTTTTGGCCCCGGATGATGTATCCCTCAGCCGTCCAGCTCTCAATGCAAATGAGGGCCCAGATTGGTCTGAAACTGAATTCCCTCCGCCCTAGATGCTGTCTGGGTACCTGCGCACAACAAGTGAGTGTATCCAACCAAGGGCCTGGGTGCGGTACCTTTCACTCTGTAGTTGACTTTGACTCTTGAATCTCCTATGTGTAGCGTTCGGTCACACAGCCACACTCGACAGACTCAGGCCTGGGCGTGTCTTGGTCACACAGCCCAGCGCAGACCAACTCAGATCTGCGTTTCCTAGGGCTGAGTTCTGAGCCCCAGGCCACTTCTGAACAGGGTTACTGCATTCATAGTCTACCCTAGCCTAGAAACGACCTAGACCGGACTGACTGGACTGACCGGCACCATTTCGATTTTGGCCTCTAGGGCCTCTCCCTACCGGACTATAGGCTATAGGACCAGTCTAACAGCATAGGCCTGTAGACCCGTCTGTCCCCGTGGTAGCCCGGGTCTGCTATTTGCAGTTAGGGTAGCTGTAGGAAATTCAAGTTAGTGTGGGCTTGAAATTATCCCGAATTTACAGATATGTCCCTCACGAATTTTCCCCACAGGCAGATATCTCGGTTAGCCCTCAGCCAAACAAATTTGCGAATCTAACCTACCTATGTTAAAGCGTCGGTGCGATGAGCAGCAGGCCGCAGAATCAGCAAGTCATTGCAGACCTACCCTCCCCCAGAGCGAGGACCTCCGAGCTAGAAGTGTAGGCTCTGTGTGGGGCTGGTACATGAACTTCACACGATACTGCATGTCTGGGCCTGTGATATCTCATCCTCAATCAATTCCACTTCATACCCCTTGCCAGGGATCGGTGGACCGAATTGAGGGGGTCTGTCCGGAAATGCATTGGCCGAGGTAAAAGGCAACAGCTTGGATGCATGGAAGACCGGATAGGTTTGTAGATGCAGAGGGATGTCAATAGTGTATGACGATCCGAAAGGATCAGCCCCCATTGTATCTAAAACCTGCCATGGACCCATGCATCGCGGCAACATCTTAGGCAAAATGTCCTCCTCACGTGATAGCTCATAACTGAGCACCCAAACCAAGTCACCTGTGCAAATAATTGAAGGACGACTGTGCCGGTTAGCCTGTTGAATCATAGCCTTTTGGGCTTTGACAGCTTAGCACGGGATCGTTTCATATCCACACGATAACGCCTGGTGAACTCTGCGGCTCCAGGTGTCAGTGTAGGGGTAGCCTTGTCGATGGTGTCATCAAGAGGCTGTCGAGGTTCACATCCCCTGTGTAGTCTGTAGGGTGTGAAGCCAGTGGAGGATAGGACAGACGTGTTGTACACCAGTTGTGCACGACTCAAATGCAGATCCCAGTCCTGCTGATCCGGACTGATCACATGACGCAGCAGCTGAAATAGAATTTGGTTTATCACTTCAGCCTGTCCATTGGCTTCAGGGTGACGACCAGATGTCATATCCAGACGTGAATGGAGGTAGTCCCTACAATAGGACTGACATTCATGGCTGCAGAAACGAGGATCTCGATCACTGACAATGGAGGTGGGTGGTCCATGGTGTGTAACCCACTTGTCAACAAATGCCGCCTGAACGGCAGGGACTCTGGCTTCTACTGGCAAAGGGATGAATTATGCATACTTGGAGAACCTGTCAGCACAAACCATAACCTGACGCATACGATGAGGAGTGGTCCTACCCAGATCAGTAAAATCAATAGACATTGATTATGAAGGTGCCTCGGGGATGGGAAGTGGTTTGAGTAGGTCAAGGGGAGGTTTGTGTACGAACTTGTTTCGTTGGCATAGCTCACCGGTTTCAACACAGTGCAGCATGTCGCTCCTCATTTCTTTCCAGAAGAACCTCTGCGACAAGGCCGCATACGATTTGAGGGCTCCAAAATGACCACGGGCATTATGACACTCTGACATAAAGAGTGTTCTCAGCTTGTGATCTTGGGGAATGCACAAACGTTCCTCACCTCTGCTGCAAGTGTACAGCAGACCTAAAACCAAGGTGTAATTTGGTTCAGAGGCAGGATTGGCCTGCAGGTTCCTCACAATCGGCCCAAAAATCGGGTTCTGGGGCAGTAGTTGGGCAATGGTCTAACGGGTCTAAGAGAGATCACGAAGAGAGCGTCAGGCCTACGAGAAAGGGCATCTGCCACTCGATTGTAGCAGCCCTTCTTGTGCTTCAATTCAAAGTCAAACAAGTCACTGAATTGAATGTAGCAGGTAAGCTCGTCATTCAGCTCTCCCTAGGACTTCATCTGAAAAAATCTTGAAGTGCCTACCCAGGAGAAAGTGTTTCCAATGCTTCCACGTTGACACAAGGGCATAAAGCTCTTTCTCATACGTGTAATCCTGCAGCTTCTTGGCTTTGATCTGCTTGCTCATGTACTCGACAAGCTGCAAACCATTCCCACTATCCTGCTGAAGTACCGCCCCTACACTAACAAGCATCAACGGTTAGTACAAAAGGCAAAGTAGGGTCATGTAACTTCAGTACAGGCGCACGAATCAAGGCCTCCTTGAGACGTGTGAAGGCCTCCTGACAGTCTGATGTCCAAAGAAAGAGAGTGTCTTTCTTTGTGAGGTCAGTCAAGGGTGCTGCAATAGATGAGAAGTTCTTAATGAACTTCCTATAGTAAGATGCAAGACCCAGGAAAGACCGAACATCACAGACCGTTAAAGGCTTTGGCTAGTCCTGAACAGCAGCAACTTTCGTTGTTTCAGGAGCCACCCCCTCTCCAGAAATGACATGACCCAAATAGACAACAGAGTTCACTCCAAAAGAGGACTTCTCTCTGTTGATCTTATATTGATTGTCATGTAAGGCCTGAAGGACAAGAGCCAGATGTTGTGCATACTCCTAGATAGTATGACTGAATATCAGGATGTCATTCATATACACAACTACAAACTAGTTCAGGTAAGGCCTGAGGGTGCGTGCATCTCTGTCTGGAAAGTGCCAGGGGCATTGCAAAGACCGAATGACATAACCAGGTACTCATGTGTACCATACCTGGTTTTGAAGGTTGTCTTGTGGACATCACCTTCAGCCATCTCAATCTCGTGGTAGCCAGATATGATATCGATTTTGCTGAAGATAGTGCAGCCCTGCACCATGTCCAACAGATCATCGATCCGAGGAAGAGGCTCTGTAGACTTCCTCATGATCTTGTTGAGTCCCCTGTAGTCCACACACATTCTGAACTCACCATTTCCCTTTGGAACAAAGAGAACTGGTGCCCCAAATTCAGATGTGCTGGGACGTATCCAGCCCCTGCTGGTTAGGGTCTCTAACTGTTTTCTGAGCTCATCAAGTTCAGCAGGGGACATCCTGTAAACCCGACCCTTAGTAGGGACCTTGTCAGGCAGGAGCTCGATCTTATGCTTGGTTTGCCTATGGACAAGTCCAGTAGGCTCCTGCATAAGGTCTGAGAACCGGTCAACCACTTGCTGAATTTGAGAGGGACAGGGAGCAGTCGCCACATCAGTTTGTTTAACATAAGCTACAAACAGACGGGTGTGGTTAGTCTGGCATGAGAGCGGAAAGAACTCATGTGCTCGCATACAATAACAACTATTGACCGGATGATACTCATCAGCGAGCATACAGGGACGGTACACCCCTCATCAGTCAGGTAGCTCAAACCTAGGGATCCTCCAGTCGATCTTGGGGTTGGTGACCTCAAGCAACTGTAGGGAGAAAACAAGGTCAAAGGGTACATTGGGGAACATAGAGAAATTCAGGCGCTGCCTGATTTCTCCCTGCCTGTCAAAGACTATAGGTAGACCTTTGACAACAGTAGTGATCCGGACTGTAGATGAGTCGCCTATGCGAACCTCGATAGGCTGTCGCAGCTTTACCAGTCTCTGGTCCAAGTGCAACCTGCTGACTGTCTGGGAGACATAAAGCTTCGAGTAGCCCCACAGTCCAAGAGCCCTTTGAACCTAGCCCCCAAGATAGAGGGTCGAAGCAGGATGAGATCCGGCCTGTGCTTTTTCTTCTCCTGCAGAGACAGGAAAAGATCAGCAAGGACGTGTGATTCATCCTCCTCGCACGTCTCATCGAGATCAGTGTCCTCATAAGTGAAGGACTCTGATGTTGCAACTCCAAGAAAAGAATCAGTGAGAGATGGTGAAGATTCAAATTCATTAGAAGATGAATCAACACTGGTGGAAGGAGCTGCTGATTCCACCTCTCTCCACTCTAGTTTTTTGAACTAGAGCCTGGAGGCCTGCGAGGCATGCTGGGACAATCCTTCAGAAAGTGATCCCCCTTGCATCCCAGGTAGACTCCCTTGTCCTTCCTCTTCGCCCATACTCCCTCCTAGATCCTGAGTGCATGCCAGGGGAAAGTGGAAGCATCAAGGGGGTCATCTGGCCAATGGACGTCTCGTGGTAATGAAACTCTCTAGGTCGTAGGGGAAGAGGCACGCCCTTTCGCTTTCCCCTTGCTGCTGGTTGATGCTCTCTGAGCAGGGGCCTTACCCTTTGTCAGGCCCATCAAAGCATTAGCCAAGGCAAGAACAATTGGATCTGCAGCAGAGGATGAGGTAGTCCCAGATGGAGGGGTCCAACTCTGAGATGCTGCCTCATCATCTGAACTAGAAGCTGCGGCAAAGAGAGCACCCTTCCTCCTTCTTCGCCCCTTTGAGGAAGGTCTCGTCCTTCGTTCAGAAGGGGTTTTCTGGACATGTCCAAATCCAGGGATGCTCTTCCAAAGGACCACCAGTCCTTATGGCCCTGAGAAAATAATGCAAGCTGGTATTCCCCAAGCGCTGCTATCAAGAAATGAATGAGCTGATCTTGCTCACTCATCTCTAACCCAGGAGTCGATGTCCGACTCTCAAAGGTTGAGTACAGTTTGGACAAGGAGCCATCCCACTTTTTCTGGCCCAGGCGGACAATTTTGTCTGCTGCCTTTCTGGCCTGCTCCTTGTCTGCAAACCGGTCATTCAGAGCCTGCAGGAAACCAGACACCCCCAGTCTTTGCACCCATTCAAACATCTTCAATCCTTGCTTGCTGGAAGTGGAGGTGCACCAGTTCAATGCAGTCCTCTCGAAGCGAGCAAGAATGGCACTCACCTTCACATCCTCATCACATTTGAACCCATTCAGGTAGGTTCTCTGTGCAGTGACCCAATCTGAAACATCCACCTTTGGGTCCTCACCTGAGTACATAGGTGGAGGGGTCAACTTGGGCCGCTGCAGGTCAAATGGACCTGAGGGCTGTGAGGCGGTTGTTGACCTGGGTGTAGAGGCTGGAGATGGTGGTCTGAATTTTGGGGGTTGTTGGGGGTCCGTCATGGGACTCCCAGGAGGTGCAAGAATGATTAGGGTGGAAGGGATCTTAAGGTGTGTGCAGAGCCGATCCAGTGTGCGAGAGATGTCATCCAACTTTTTAGAAAGCGCCGAGTGACTGTCCTCTAGACTGGTAATTGTAGCATCCCAATTAATAAAGTAGGACCGGTGGATATCATCCTCAAGGTGGACGAAGTCCGCCATGTCCTTACTTTACTGACTGGAAGATCCACTCACCCTGATCTTCTCAATGTCTGTCGATAGTTGTTTTCTTCTGGTCTCTTTTTGGTTTGCCTCCTCTTTGCACCTCATTTCTTCCTTCAGAGCCCCAACTGCTGCTGCTCGTTTTCGGAGTTTTTCCTCCTCGGCAAGCAGTTCAGCCTCCAAAGGGGAGAGAGGAAGTTGAGGCTTCACCTCATAAACTTCTCTCTTCTCAGTGCCAGACATTTTGGAAAAGCCCACAAAACAGATAAATAAACAAAATAGGAAACAAAAAGGGAAGCGCTCAGTCTCTGTAGACCACTTGAGGGTCAAGGGTCAGTTTAGAGTGAACTCAACCAAAATCAATTTCATGATTTTCCATTCACTGCCCTAACACATCAATTGAGTGCAATTACTTCAAATCCTGCATTAATAACTTCCAGGATGCAGTCTTGGACTGATTAGGAGTTGATAGTAATTAGACAGAGTGACATTTAGTGACTGACATGTATCTACACATAACCAAGATGTAACGATTGACTGGGTGTTCTATTTTCAGACTTACCCTATTGGCTCTACCACTGGATGACCTTGTAAGCTATACTCAAGGTACGACTAAGTACAAATTTCACTGTAACTGACTCAATACACCAAATCTGACAGTGGGATTTTAGACGCAGACCAATCGCTGAATTGCGATTTACTAGGGACTGACATAACTGAATTCTTACGGACAGAACCAAAGTTGTGACAAACCCTGGCCTGGCCAAGCTTCAACTATGACAGCGCAAAATTCAAATTTCCATTATTACTGGCAACATGACCTTGAACAATCCAATTCATAGTACAATATGAATCGCAACTCTGTATAGCAGTCACATAGGAAAATCGAGTCAGAGAGAAGGTCAAACAGGGTTAGTACCAGTCAAAGAAGATAGGTAGGAGAAATTGGCTATGGCTCTCTCACAGTCAGAATTTTGATTTTCTACTGTTTACAGACTGACAGGCCAAATTTCGCTAATCTATAAATAGCCTCAGAATCGCCAAACAGAGTAGAGTAAGGAACGCACTTACTTACGGGACTTCACTGAAGGGAAGGGATGGAACTCTACCTATGGCCGTCTCTTAAGACCCATCTCGCCAGTTTCAACTTCTGTCTATTCCCAGTGTTCCCACGTACAGAATTCTCTGAAAGTTGGTGATCCTGTAGATCTCACAGTAGTGCTTCACCCCCAACTAACATATTCAGTGAGTCTAGACTCCCAGATGCCAGTACCTGAGAAACTCAATGCAGCGCTGCTCCAAACTGCACTGTGCTGTTTGGGAAATGGGGATCTTGACCCAATCCCAAAATCGCAACCGTATGGGGGTCACCTCCCTGCAAATCGTCAGTTCCAAATGAATCGCCAGGCTATAAATAGCTCCTCAGAGCCTCCCAGGCCTTTGATTATCAATCGCCACTCACTTTTGCGCAACCCTAAGCAGAAGTGCATCACCCTTGTTCAATACTTCTCGCCACACACTTGCCACCACCACCCTCACTGTCGCCCACACAGAAGATGACAAATCGCCATGAGATTCAACTCCAATGTCTCGCCAAATGATGGTAGTTGCTCCAACTCATCAGTACTCCACTGACTGGATCCAATCGCTCAGATACCAACTGTTATGAACCTGGTTGCTTGTTGTCAGAAGACCAACACTCGCTCACATAGACTTCCAGGTATGCCCATACATACACATAAGGAAGGGGAGAGGATGGGAGTATCACACCGCACAAGGAGAGAGAAACACAGTGGAAGACTTAACCATGTGATATGAAAGAGTACACTGAAAGTGCAATTCGCTCCACAAATCCTCACAACCAGTCACAAAGGAAAGCCGAGTAGATCACATCCAGGAAACAATGAAGCAAAGATAGTCCACACACAGTAGCAATACTGTTTATTAAACTCAAAACATCGTTTTGTCAGAATTGCCCCAGAACCATGGTGCGCTGCTCAGAAATGAGCAGCGCTTCTTCCCCCAACCCTGAATAACCACTATCACTACCCCTGAGTCCCCGAAACAACAAGCGCCACCCAGATACTGCCTCCAGAGGAAAGCGCCACCATGAAACAGGCCTCTGAGGCCAAGCGCCTCTCAGAGGATGAAGAAGAAGACCAGCGCCACATGCTCTGATGATGACGAAGTGCCAGAAGGCCTCTCTAATGAAGATCTTCGGCAGCACCACCTCTCCTGACAAAGATGACCTCTGAGTCTACAAGCTGCAGCTATGGCTGCAGTGCCACTACCCTGAAACCCTACTCCTGAGGAGGGTTCAGCAGGGCACCAACTTCTCCTGCTCCCAGAAGACCTCAAATAGCCCAGACCTCTGGACAGCCCCGCGTGCTGTCAGAGATCAGCGAAGGTCCCAGCTATGGCCGACGCTTCGAGGGTCTGGTTATGTCTGTCTCCTTCAACGCTGAAGCTGTACCACTCCAGTTCACGCGTTGCATCCCCCAATGTGCACGGTACCAACTGCCAAAAGCCCCTGAACAGACCTCCCAATTCTATTCATAGTCTACCCTAGCCTAGACACGACCTAGACTGGGCTGACTGGACTGACCAGTACCATTTCGGTTTTGGCCTCTAGGGCCTCTCCCTACCCAGCTATAGGCTATAGGACTAGTCTAACAGCATAGGCCCGAAGGCCCGCCTGTCCCAGTGGTAGCCCGGGTCTGCTATTCGTAGTTAGGGTAGCTGTAGGAAATTCAAGTTAGTGCGGGCCTGAAATTTCCCCGAATGTACAGATATGTCCTTCACAAATTTTCCCCACAGGCAGATATCTCGGTTAGCCCTCAGCCAAACAAATTTGCGAATCTAACCTACCTATGTTACAGCCTGGTGCGACGAGCAGCAGGCCGCAGAATCAGCAAGTCATTGCGGGTGGGTGCGTAGGTGGATGCACCAGGTGCGTGGATGAGCTCATGATGGATGGGTGGATGGACGGATGAGTTGATGTCCTGGTGGATGGGTGGATGGATGCATGGATGGATGAATGGATGGGTAGATGGTGGGTGGATCGATGCATGGATGGATGGATGGATGGCTGGATGGATGGCTGGATGGATGGAGGCTGGGTGGAGATGGAGAGAAAAGGAAGGAGGAACGGAGGGACAAATGGACAGAAGGATGGACGGGCAGATGGGTGGACGAACGTCCGGTTTCCTCTTCTGAACAGAGTCGGAACATGTTATTGTTGCTGGACAGAGAAGGAGACTGTTTGAGTCGAGGCAGGGATTATTTTGCCATAATTATAGTTCTTCTTCCTCTTACTCTTCCTCCTCCTCCTCCTCCTCCTCCTCCCCTCCTTCTTCTATTTCTTCTTCTTCTTCTGCTGCTGCTTTTTCTTCTCCTTCCTTCTCCATTATGTCCTCTTCCTACTTCTCCTCCTCCTCTTGTGCCGCCCTTCGCTTGTGCATGGTTGAGCAGGGAGGTCTCTTTTATGTATGCCGCCTCCATGCTGGTGTGTCAGTCCACTATGTGTATTGTGCATGTATTCCCTGGGTCAGTGTAGTTGATTGAGTCTTTCCCTCTGCCCTTTTCACATTCTTCCCCACAGCATTACACTTGACTTTTTCAGCATGCCCAACATCTGACTCGGGCCAGTGCAGTTGATTGAGTCTTCGGCTGTGCTCTTTTCAGATTCTTCCCCATGGCATTACACTCTACTTTTTCAGCATGTCCAAAATCTGACTCAGGCATGCTGAGAATGCTTGATCCAACAGCTTAACCTGTACCCCTCACTGTGTGCAATGTCATCTATATTCCTCAGTTGGTCATGCAGTGGTTATGATATCGCCTCGGTGAGGGCAGCCACTGTTGATTTGTGGTTCAAAGAGTCAGGCAACAACCATCTGCAGTTCAAGTCAGTGGTGAGCAGGGGTTAAGAACTGCAGTGGCAGATCTAGTTCACATTTGGAAAAGAAGCACATGGAAAGCAACCAAGGCACAAATTTAAGTTCACTTACATATAGGCAAATGGAAACCATAGATGCATCACGTAGCTCACCTTTACAATTGAAGCGAAGTTATCATCCAGGATGACAATGTCAGCACTGTCCTTGGCAACCTCTGTTCCTGCAATCCCCATTGCAAGCCCAATGTCGGCCTGCAAAAGAATTTGCCAAATCACAACAATCACCTCACCGAGCTACAAGATTTGCCAGCCTGCAGAGATTTCAATCACACTCATCACCTTCCAAACGACTCAGATGGCCACATAAGACCCTAGGTTGAATATGATAGAAAATGACCTTTGATCCAGAGGACGCCGCTCTAAGTTGCAAGGCAAGTCCCAGAACGGTCCACATCTGCCCATATTTCAAGTACTTTTCTACTACTGGGCCATGAGTTTCGCCAGCCATGACTCGTGGGCAGGCGGGCGAGCGAGCGAGCGAGCGAGTGCGTGCGTGCATGGGTGGGTGGGCGAGCCGGCGGGCAGGCGGGCGGGCGACGCGTGCATGGGTGGGTTGGCGGGCGAGCGAGCGGGCACGTGCGTGCGTGCACATTATGGCTTCAGTTACACCGGGCAGACAAAAAAAGTGTAAAAATTACTCAAAATTGGGAGAACCAAAGGATATTCTGCCCGTTAGCCAGATCTGTACTTATTCTACAGCAGTCACAGTCAGGGCTTATCTTTTCTTGTGATGCTTTCGTTCTGCAGGTGTTGGGGTTGGGGGGGGGGGGGGGGGGATTAACTTAACAGGTACATATAGGGGCACCTTAACTTCTTTACCGCCTCTTGAAATCCTGACCAGCCAAGTTAAGTCTCAGATAAGCACCACAAGGGTATTTAGGATTTACTGGATGAGGAACACAGATGAATTCAATGTAGTATGGCAGGATGGCTAGCGAGGCAACACACAAGCGATCTACGAGCACTAGTGGCAATCTAAGTTTTCTCTGCAGGGGCAAAGCCGGACATGGAATGGAAAGTCCCTTCTAAATTGCTGGGCCAGAACATGACACCAGACAGAGTGGCAGTGAAAATCATACCCAGACCCTCCCACACGTGGTCAGGGATTTGCATTCCACAATCAACCATGGACACATGCAACATCTCTTCTCTATACTCTTAAAAGTTATGATGGGCCCGCTGTAACGGGCCGAGGTCGGCCCAACAGAAAACCGATGCAGGGGCGGGCCGCAGGGGGTCCGGAGGGAGGGACAGCGTGGAACCGAGATGGCCCAGTGGCGGAAGACTGAGGCAGGCGGCGACAGTTGCCACGCGGCGGGCCGACACTGGGAAAATTCGGGGCGAGGCGGAAAGAATTGGCATGGGGGTGCGAGGAGGGAGGCCAGTCTATCCAGGTGTGCATTTCAAACGCTCCCACACCCCGGTTCATACGTGCACGCGCGCTAGACAGACAGAGAAAGAGCGTCACTGTGTGGGCATTCGGCGTGATCGACACGTGCAAGCACGCCACACAGAGACACACACACACACACACACACACACAGAGAGAGAGAGAGAGAGAGAGAGAGAGA